AGGACATGGCCTTTTGAGTCTGGTTTCTTCCACTTTAGCATGATGCATTTCAGATTTGCCCTGGCTGCATTCTTAGTGTCTATAGGTCTTTGGGTAAGTTGCTTAGCTTTCAGCCTCAGTGTGTTTATCTGTAAAATGGACATAACACTTGTCTTGCATTTGTATCGTTATAGACAGGAAGAAAGAAAGCACACAGATGTGCATTAGATCAAATGAGAAGCAAGTATAGAGTCTTCTTGTTTTTCTTGCTACGAGATTGTCTTTTGAACAGACTCCACTTGGAAAGGCAATGCTGATTGAAGCATAAATCCCGTAGAGCTTTTTTGCCTCTGATGAGTAGAGCAGGATCCAGCATCACTGTGAAATTCTCCCCAGCCAAAGGGCTCCACAAGCTGGTCCGAAGGCTCGAAATGTTACAAGAAACACTTTCCTAATAGGGACTGTCACCAGGGGAGATGGATCTCTGACATGTTGCCTCCACCATGCAACCCCCCAAGGGGTGGGGAAACCTAACCTTGGATGAAATGCTTTGATGTATTTGGATTGAAATGCACTTTGCAAAAACACTATCATTAACATTGATAATAATTTATAATAGTAATGGTGTTGTGGAAAAAAATATGATTATCTAACACACGGAGCACCAAACAGTTTGACAAAAAGATAGGGCCTCTCTTGGCTCAAAACACACAGGGAGGAGTTGGAAATGCAGATTTGCGTTTCCTTCTGAGTGCTATGTGATTCTGAGTTACAGAACACATATGACCAACATAGACTCCCTGGGCACTTTTGCCTGGATGTGGATCCAGAGAGGCCAGTCTTTGGTACCCTCCTCCCATCCAACTGGCCTGTGGATACCAAGACAGCAAGACAGGTGCATACCAGAGGAGGGAAAACCTGGACTGGGATTCAGGAGACCTGGATGCTGTATCTGGCCCTGCTGTTATTTGTGTGACTTCTCCCTTGTTTCCTCACCCATAAAAGAGGGGGCTGTGGTAGGTCACCCTGAAGGCATCTCAAGTGACCCCATGAATGTTAAGAGCCACTAACTCCCAGCTCAGAGTACCGGAGCAAGGGGCGCAGAAAGCAACAACCCCGAGCCTTCGAGTGAAATCCTTCAGAGAAGCTCATTCTTTCCAGCACTAGCTGAATAAGATTCCAATAAACATATTGCTGAAATGTTTGTTTCCGGGTGTCATTTTAGACTGCAAGTAGCGAAAACAGATCCAGCTCCTATATATAGATACTGCATTTGGTTGTGTTCTGGGAGGCTTTTATTACTATGCTCCCTGGCTGGCTCCCAGCTGAGCTTTTCCCTCAAGGGATCAGATTTTGGAATCAGAAAGTCAGAGAGGATCAGTGACCATATTAAGGGGTCTCTCCCCCACCCCTCCCACCTCTCTCTCTCCCCACTAATGCTCTATACTGCAGGTGGACGCCAATGTGGACTGGCTCCTCCCTGTGCTCCAGGACTCTTAATAATAATGATGACAATGCTAATGGAAACTGACCAGCCCCACTATGGCAGCAAATACAAGCGAAACAGCCCTGCGGTCCTGGGCTTAAGGGAAACATAGTATAATTTGGGTTGAAACAAAGTGCAGATTGTCACAAACAGCTCAGTCTTTAGATAAGAGGAGGCAGGGCCCTCTCTGGACAGAAGCAAAAAAAAGGGGCTACTCAGTATTAAGGGTGGGGGCTTTTTGGGGGTGGAGGGGGATGGGTTTCTGAATTTTACTCTAGGGGAAATTCTCCAGGGGAAGATAATGCTGGCAACAAGAAGTGAATGAAGGAAGGTGGAAGTGGGTGTTGGAGGAAGGGTGTAGGCAGGGAAGGAGGAGGAAATAGGGGTTTACTTAAAGAGACAATGTTGAACCCTGGCAATCTGCTTTTCTAAAATGTGTCTGATCACTGGAGTGAGCCCCTCCACTGTGTATCCTTTGTTTTCTGTGCAGAAAACCCAACCCCTGCCTCATTCTGTAGTGGCTTTCCTCACCTGCCCCCCTGATTTCTTTATGTTTAAACATCATGGATCTAACTGCCTTCCTGGTCTCCATATTTTATGTGCCTCACCATTTCTTCCTCTTTTTTCCTTCCTCTCGGTCTCATTCTTCCCTCCTCTCTTCCCTGCTTTTCTTCTTCAGTCCTTCCTCCTTCCAGACTCTTCTCTTTTCCCTTCGCCCCCACCCCTCCTCCTTCTAGTTCACTCCTTTCCTCCTCAACCCTCCCCTCCCCCTTCCTCCCCTTTTCCTCCTCTTTCCTCCCTCCTCTCTCTTCCCTTCCTTCTCCTTTCCCCTCGCCCCTCTGTCCTTCTCCCCTTCTTTCCCTCTCTCCCCGTCCCCAGGTCCCCATCCCCTGCCCCTCTCCCCTCTTCCCTCTCTTGTCTCCTTCCCCTTCCCTCCGGTCCTTGTTTATCTCTAAGCTCCAATTTCTCGCCTTATAGATTTACCTGCAGAACAAGACACCGCTCCTCTTGCAAAAACTGTTTAAGAAATCCATATCCTCTCCCTTCATTGCTTGGGCATTTCAGAAATGATATTCCTCCCCCAGCTACCCCCGTCAAAATAAAATAAATTCAGCCAGCTTCTGCCGTGTGTCCTTAAATCCATTCCCTCTGGCTTCGCTGGTTTGAAAGCCTGTACCCTAGAAGGGGCCTCCTGCATTTGCTGGCAACCCTGCTCGAGTCTGATCGCCACAGATAGTGCTTGGGAGTGAAAAAAAAAGGGGGAAAAACCCTCTCGTTGGAGATTTCAAAACAGATTCTACCAGCTTTCCAATCTGTGCACTTGCGGAGTGGCAGGACTTGGGGAAGAGGGGTAGGGGCTTGGGGTGCCGGTGTTTGTCACAAACAAATAAGCCACAGAATTTATGTATATATAAATGTGCGTTGCCTTTGGCATGTGTGGTGTCTCCCTGGCATCCAGGGTGGGTGCTGTGCACGGCCGACTTCTCTCCCACTTTTGCTGGGGCATGATGTGCATGTGTGTGTGTGATGGAATTGAGGAGGGGGCTGCTGGGTTTTTTATCTGATCCACTTGACAGATTATTTGAATCCAGCCCACCTTTCCGCACATGTCAAACAGATGGGATCATTGTTACAAGCCTTGAGAGAGCCGCTGAGCGGTGGGTAAGGCAGGGAGGGGGAGAGGGGAGGAGGGCGGAGGGGAGAGAGGGGCACCTTCTAGTAGCTTTGTGTTTTCACACGTTGGAACTGACAGGAGCCCTTCTTCTCTGTGGGGGGGTGCTTTGGGGGGTCTGGGGCTGATGGGGGGTGAGATGGAAAGGAGAGCGAGAGGTGGGGTGTTGGTGGGCAGGGTTATGATGTCACAGCAAAAGTTACAACAGGAGGAAAACACAGAAATGGTTCAACATTTTTTTTTTTTAAACTTTGGACTGCCAAGAGCTGAAGGAGAGTGGTGAGCAAAGGAATGAAGGGGAGAGAGAGAAACTAAACTGGAAGCTTGAGTTTTGTATAGCTTCTTGAAACCTTATGAATGGATTTCTAGCAGCTGAGAGCCAGGAGAGACCTATAGGGACTGCAAGATCATTCACACATTAACAGGGGCAGAAAAGCAGGCGGAATTCTTCCTTGCTGTGTTATCCCTCCTTCCTGAAATGAATGGTATGGAACCTTTTTCTGAGGGTCATGGGGGTGGCATGAAGGAGGGGGAAGTTTTCTTTTTTTCTTACCTGAGGATCTTTTCTTCATTTACACTAAGGTTCCTCTCCTTCCTTCTTTTCTTTCCTGGTGTTTCTCTCTCTCTTCTCTCTTCTCTCTCTCTCTCTCCCCCCTCTTCTTCCTCTCCCTATCCACCCCCCCTTTCCTCTTCTTTTATGCCTTTCTCTACATCTCCCTCTACTCCCTTCCAAAGCCCCAAACTCTTTTGGCTACTTCAGGGGGAAGAAAAGAAAGAAAAAGAAAAAGAAGGACTAAGTCAGAAGGAGTGAAGGGAGACAGGAAAACAAGAAAAGGGAAAAGGACAGTCCAGGATTGAGAGATTTCTGTTTAGTAATGTCCACGTGCCTGAATTGATCTTCTCTTTGGGGACTTGCTTTGAGGCTCCAGTGGATGCTGCACAGGGAGACAGGGCATGCCAGGGGGCGGGTGATTAGGGCACAGCATGCTGAACGCAAACAAGTCAGTTATTAGCAGGGCTAGAGGAGTTTAGAAGATGATGAGAAGTCTCGAGGAAAAAGAGGCACTGCGATCTTACTCCAAAGTGTGTGGGCTGCATGTTTTATGTGTGGGTGACACAAGCAGGGATTTTAGAACTGCAAGTAATTTTTCTTAGTGAAGGAAGGACCCAATATATTTCTCTACCTGTTTTGTACCCACCTGTGGTCAGACATCCTCACCCGTGTCAAAAATTCGGAACCATGCCGTGTGTGTGTGTGTGTGTGTGTGTACACGTCCATGTGTTTAGGGGGTGGGACTCTGAGATAGCCAGTCTCCGGGCAAACATTATTACAGAGGTTGGAGTCACATTATTTACTTCCCCATCCTCTCCATTCATTTCAAATCAATTGAAAAAAAAAATAGTTGCTTCGGTCTAGCTGTTCATTTTTGTAAATTACTTATTTTGAGCATCTCATTTGTTTATTTGCTCACTCAGCATATGGAGACTTTTAGTAACTTCAGAGTGAGAAACTTCAGAGGGAATAAGAAGATCTACGTAGTACGAACTCATGGCATTCCCATGTAATGCTTCTTACAGCAGGCTAATTGATTTGTTCTTTCTCCCAATGTCCAATGTAAAGCGAATTTGGGGTATTGTTCTTTTGAATCCCAAATGATTGAAATAAGGCAAAAAATACAGGAGGCTTATGGCAAAACAAAAAGAGAAGCAAGTGGTCCCTGAATGGCTGGTGGGGAGTTTATTAGACAGTAAGCAGATCTGTTCACAACACATGTGCAAGTATGTGTGTGTGTCTGAGAGAGAGAGAGAGAGAGAGAGAATACACACCGAAAAGACTGCTCCAAGACAGTATCGATTGCTATTGATTGTGTAGGCTGCGGCTGCTGAGAGAGAAAGCCCGAGATGTTTACTGGGGAAACCAGGAGTAGCGTCTGTCCCCTGTGCCTCGGTGAGGTGGGGAGGTTTTCAGGAGGAAGGAGGGGACAGGGAGTAGGTGGAGTGATGCACCGAACTTACTAGCTTTGACATCATCATTGTCTTTAAATGAAACAAACAAGAAGATAATTACAGGCAGAGAGAGAAGGAGAGAGGAGAGCAGGAGACACCGGAGAGAACAGGTCCCCTGAAGTACATGCTCTTCTTCTCGCTCTCTTTCCCATCTGCCCAGGGACCCACAAGACTCCCAGAAGGTGAAGTCAAGGGCTCTCAGACTCATAAGGTTATTAGGACACCAGACTGGCATCCCCAAGGAGAACTTTACGGAGACTTGCAACATACCAACAAGTTGGAAGGGGATTAAAAAACCTTCAACACTCCACAAGCCCAAGCACCAGGCTGAGGGAAACATTCTGACCTGCACAGGCAGACTGGGCTCTGGCTGAGGAGGACCTCTGGAGAGCAAAAGCTAAGTACCAGCTTGGATTTTTGTGCCCCCAGGTTCCTTTTGCAATGTTAGATAGAAGCATCAAATTCTGTGCCTCTGGATGCAAGTTCCTCTAACGATTTGTTCGAAGGTGGATGTAGCTTAGGATAAGGGCTACAGAAAGAACGTAACTCCTAGGGAAGGAAGAAGGAGAAAGGAATGAAAATGAGAAGATTAGCGTCTTTTTCATGACTTCAGGTAGGGAGCGGTATGTGTTTGTGAGGGAGTGTGTGTGTGAGAGGATCTGGCTCCTGTCTGTGTGTCCCTCTTCTAGGATCGGCGGGGGGAGGGGCTACTGAAGAAGGGACCAAAAAAAAAAAAAAAAAAGAAAGAAAGAAAGAAAGAAACCTGAGCTCTCTAGGAGGAGGTTCCAAGGAACCCAGAGAAATGAACTTCGTTCTGCAAGGACTGAACTAGAGTCAGGAGAGCCAGGTCAGGGGAGAAGGAGGGAAGCACAGCACTCACCGGCTGGTAGCCAGAAGAGACACACTTTTGGGGCTGCTCCTAAAAGTTTGGTCTGTGAACAAAACCGTTTCCCTGGTGACTGCGAATCCACTGCTAGCCGTCTCTTTCTCTTCTCCCCATCATTCCTGTGTGGTACCCAGAAGTTGACTTCTGGTTCTGTATAAAGAGCTGGGGGAGGTATGATGTGTCTAAAGATCCTGAGAATCAGCCTGGTGATTCTGGCTGGGTGGGCATTCAGTACTGCCAGCTCTGAGCCAGGCTGGCCACGCAAGAGATCTGTGGCTCAGAGGGGACACCTGAACCAGGTGCTGTCGGAAGGAGAACGCTGTTGGCTGGGGGCCAAGCTGAGAAGACCCAGAGCTGCTCCCCAGCATCATCTCTTTGGGGTCTACCCCAGCAGGCCTGGGGACCACCTGATACCCTACCCTGTGGGGGGTCAGGGAACCCGCCATGCAGGACACAGTAAACCAGATGCCGCGGGGGGCCTGGCCACGAGCCCAGCCAGAAGTGGGGGGCCGAGGGGTGAAGCTGAGCAGCCAGCCACCCCGTGGTCCTGGCATGATCCTCCTGGGCGGGCTGAGCTGCGGAGAGACAGTGACACTTATCTTGGAGATGGAGGATCCAAGGAGATTCCAGGTGAGGCTGAGACTCAGGAGCGCTCGGCCACGGCTGCCACCGTTACCACCACCTTCGTGGGCCCAAAGGAACCCCAACCCGAGAGCCGAAGGAACGGCCGGGCCAAGACCAGGCATCGCCGACAGGTGGTGAAGGGGCAGGCGGGGGGCGTGCGGGGAGACCCCGGTGTCCCCCTCCGGCATTTCCAGCCTCGGCCTGAGCATCCTCTTGTGCACGGGGGCAGAACCAGTCTGACAGCGGACAGCATCCAGAAGGGTGGAGGGGACCCCCACTGGGAAGCAGAGACCTTTAACCCCCGCGGAGGCTTGCCGGTCTTGTACTTCTCGGGGAGGCGGGGGCGGCTGCTGCTGCGCCCCGAAGTGCCGGCTGACATTCCCCGGGAGGCCTTCACGGTGGAAGCCTGGGTGAGACCAGAGGGAGGACAGAACAACCCAGCCATCATTGCAGGTAACAGCCCGCCCCTGGGCTTTCTGTGGTCCTTGGGGTATGGCTGGCTTTGTGTTTGCCTGGGTTAGACCGAGGGGGCGAGGAGAGGAAGGGCACAGGGGCAGGAGAGCCAGGAGGGGCTGGCCAGGGAGAGAGGGGGAAGGGCCTTTATTCGTCAGCTCAGCAGGACTCCAGACATCTATGATAATGGCTCTGTGACCACAAGAGCATTTGTCCCAACGAGTATCGATCTCCTGTGGTTCTGTACATGGCGCGTGCACTTAAGAGACCTTCAGCTCACTCCTCACCCCATCTTTAAAGGGGAAGATCTCTGGTTCGTTGTCAGTGGGGAAGAAGCGTCACACTCCATTTCTCAGAGTCCAGTCTGAGAGAGCCAGACAACTTGGCAGCTACGTGTCAGGACCGGGACCTGCGCTGCGAGCCACGGGTGGGCGGGGCCAGGCTGCCTGAGCCGCCAGGTGCGGAGCCCTAAGCCCTGGCCGTTCCCTTTTCCTTGAGCAGCCCTGGAACTTAGCAGAAAGCTACTATCCAGCCCGGGTCCTGGAGTCCTGTTTGCTTGTCCTAACATGTATCCAGCCTAAGAACAGCAGGGTCTGCTGGAAGAGGTTGGCACTTACAAGTGGGGACCCTGGTGTCTAGCCCTTGGCTTTTGTATGAGGGACCTAAAAAGGAACCATAACTATGGTTTTGATCAGAGGTAATACCTCAGGACATTGCCTCTATGTGTTTTCCACTATGCCCAGATCTTGGCTTTCATGGAAAGTCACCCAGAAGGACAAAGAAAAGAGTGGCATTAGGAATAACTATCTCCCTTGCCTTACTGGTGGTGGTGGTGGGGAGGGGGGTTGGTTTCAAGCAAGGGCTGGGGGTTAGACAGGACAGGTCATCGTTTATGGTGTCATGATCCCTTTGGATCCCTCCATGACAGGACCTCACACAAGGCTAGGCACATTGTAGATCCATTTTAATCTCGTTAATTTGGATTATCTACAGTGCTCTCTGATGTTTGCCTGTCTCATTGACATTGGTGGGGGAAACGAAACAGTGAGAGGTGTGCCCAAGGCAGAGCAGGAATGAAACCCCAGAGCTCCTGAAGTGCTTGACAACTTCCCAAATTAAAAACTTCTCAGGTTGCTGGATGCCGGCAAATAAGTTTCAGACTGGAGAAAGAAATCTGGAAGGAGGGAGCCTCTTTCAATGGGGTGTTGCTGGAACATCCCTTCTGGACACGCTGTCTCCCCCTCTTTGGCTGTGATTTCTCTTTTGGAAGCTGGGATTCCCAGACACTGAGCACTCGAGAGTCTTGTGGTTTTGCTTTATTTTATTTTTGGGTGGGAGAGGGGGTGAGGGGAGGGGAGAGAGAAGGGGCTGGGCTGTAAGAAGGTGGGGGCAGAGACAAAGTAGAAGGAAATCCTTATTCTGGGGCCAAATGGAAGAAATAATGAGATGATTATCTGATCAGAGTTGGCAGCTTTGCAGCTTTTCCCAGATGACATCTTCTTGCTGCCTAATCTCGCTTCCTAGTACCCATCTGCCAGGGAAACTGTGTGCTTGCCGTCTAGACCGAGACCCACGACTCCGCTTACCCCTCCTCCTGCAGTAGCAACAGAGGGACCTGGGATCAGTTCCCTGGCTGTGAAGAATTAGAGAGGGATCCAACAGGAATATATGAGCGAGGCTCTCAGAGGCTATTGCTTCCAGTTATTAAAACTCAAATCCGAGGGAACAGATTCAGGACAGTGGGTACCTGACTTCTGTCCTATCCCTTCCATGTCCCATTTCGCGCTCTGCAGAGAGTAGCATCAGGAGCTGATTCCAGTTACAGCATGGCTCCTTGCACTTCTCCACCTGCTCCCCGTACACCTCCCTCCCTCACCCACCTGTCCACCGCCAACCATCCTCCCCCCACTTGCCACAGCACATTCAGACCCTTCTCCAAAGTGCCCCTCTGAACCCTCTGGAAGCATGTAAAATTAGGCAGGAAGTCTTTTGCAGACCGTCTAGTCTCTGAGGCTTCTTTGTCTTCTAATCAAAGTGGCCCCTGTGGTATACTGGTATTTCCCCTTGAGGTCCACACCAGGAAGGTGGAGGGCAGGGAATACCCAGGTCTAGCTCCTCTCCACCTTCCACCCTATATCTTTCTTTAGACTTGTGCACATCAGAACATACCCAGGAAAGATTTAGGGTAAAAGTCTGGGAGAGATGGGGGCTGGGAACAAGGCCTTCATTCTTCAGGGTTTTAGCAGCCGGGCTCCCAAGGGCATAGACATCTTTGTTCACCGTGCTTAGCTCCTTACGCTTCACCTGCGGGCCCCCTTGCTGAGGGCCATGAGGCAGCCAAAGGTAGTTCCCCCCATAAAGGTCTCTGATTTGCATGAATTTACTCACTCCTATCAGCAGACCAGACCATCTTCCTCTCTTATCCAAGCACTGGGCCTGTAGCTGATCACTGCCTGTTCCTGGGCTGGTGGGCCTTCACCTGTGCAGAATAACAACTGGATCCAGTTCCTGGGAGCTAAACATAATCCAGCCTTTGAAGTTCTGCTGCTCCGCTGAGGATCATCTGAGGCGCTGCAAGGCTTGACTCCCATACTCTTTTCCAATGGCTCTCAAACCTCAGCTTCTACCTCCTTAGACCCAGCATCCCAGTTCTCAATCTCCCAAACTTGGGGCATTTTTCCCCTTCAGCAGAGAATTCAACCACACCAGCCCCTGTGAAGGAACCCCCTGAGATATGGGGCCTCAGGGAATACTTCCCACATGGGGCACTAGGTGGCAGTGTTGCCTCATGCACAGGAGAGTAGGCGGCTGTTTGGAAGCCACCTAGTGGGTGGGGAATGTGTCTGGTTTCTTGGATTGCCATCCTTGCCTGCGCCTCTGGGCTGTATTTTATCACCCCCTCCCAGACTGTTGTTGGTAGGCATCCCTTAGGGTTGGCTTCATACAAGTCCTTTTGCAGGGCCTATGTGAAAGGGCTAAAGTGGCATTTTGTGGGGTTGTGACTAACTTGCACTTGCAGCAACTAGTAAAGAAAACAAAATCAACTGGAGTTACCTCCTCCCTCCACCCCAAACTCCCACATTCTTCCAAAATAGGAAGTTGGACTCCAGAATGGATTGCTGGGATCCTTTTATTCAGGGCCGAGGACAATGGCCGCCTCACAGACTTTAGATGCTGAGGTTCTCTCTGGCCCCTAGAGGGGGCATGATGGTGCTGCTCCCCACCCCCCCCAGCCCCCCAAGGTAAGGCCTTCCAAAGTTGCCTATGGCCTGTGCTCTGGAGCAGGGCAATGGGAGGTAGGAAAGGACTGTATGCAAGTGCTCCAGTGTAGGGGTCTCGATAAAACTAACTACTCAGGGACCTGGCAATTCAGGGATGTGGGGCCACGGAGGAGTAGCCTGAGGTCACAGGCCCATTTGGTTGGGCTGTTGGAACTCACTCAGCAGCGGACAGAAGCCAAATCCTGTCCCATCCTGATGTGAAATCCTTAAGCTCCAGCACCCAAGCCTGAAACCATCCTGTTCCTTTCCCTCCTTCTCAACTTCTTTTCCCCTCCTTCAACCCCAACATACACAGAAGAGAAACTTTTAATAGGTTTCTCCTCACCCATAATTGATTTCAAATGTTCCCTGCAGTTGCCCAGCTGAGTAACCACCTGCAGCTCCAAGTTGCAGGGGACTGAGTCAGTAAGTCCATGTCAGGATCAGAGCTTGAGTCCATGTGTCTTCATTCCACAAATATTTACTGAGGGCCTTGCCATGCAAAGCCCAGCGAGGCACTGTGGGGAGTACAAAGAGTCTAAGAAACTGTCCCTCACTTGGAGACCCGTTTTTCTCTTGTGAGGATCCAAGTTTCAGAGCAGATCCCAGTATAGAACAGAGGAGTCAGGCTGACCTGGACTATGGTCCCGTCTCTGACACTTATAAGTGCTCTGATCTTTGGCAATCTGTTGAACTTTTCTGAGCCTTGGTTTCCTCAAGTCAAGAAATGAGATATGTCTTACAGAGTTGTTGTGATGTTTAAATAAGTCAAATGTAAAGTGCCCGACACGGGGCTTGGCCGGTGGTACTTATTTATGATGTGGTATTAACTGCAGGAGATAGTCATCACTAAGAGCAGTGGGTGCTAACCTACTTATCTTTGGCTCTACTCACAAACCTATAATTTTTCCTTAGGTGAGGTACTAACTTTAATTTCTTAGGAATTTAGTTAGGTAATCTGTGAAATAGGAATGATGGTAAATAGGATTTTTCACAAGATGGTTTCAAGATGATTGAGAACACTGTAGAATCAGATGCCTAAAAGAACTCCATTTTTTTTTTTTTAATCACATGTTCTTTTTAGCCTGGGCCGTACTATTTTGAATAAATTGGACAATGGCACTAAAGCTTTTTTGGCATCACAAACCTTTTTGAGAATCTGATGAAAGCTATGCTTACTCCCCAGAAAAACATACATGTTCACATAGTTTACATAGCTTTCAGAGCTTTTTGGATTCCTGATGGCCAGTGTCTCCTGACCATGGGTTAAAAACCCCTTGTTTAGGACACTTTGATGGCTTTTTTTGGTATGTTTTGAATGACATCTAAGAAACGTGAATTTATGGGGTACCGAGACATCCCCTTCTCCCAATAAGGGAGCTGTGTACTCAGGGTCAGAAGTTTCATTCGTGTGGACACGGAGCATCACAGAAGACAGATTCCCATACCCAGAAGTGTCGACGTAGATGTGAAGAGAGTTTCAAATAAGGACCATGTGTGCTATATCTCCCCCTTTATCCAGTTTTAATGACAGGGGAAGAGCCATATACCTTCCTCAGAGCTCCTCAGGAGATGAGGATTCTGTGACCTTCCTCCTCAGCTGCCTCTTCCTATATCGCAACAATGATCAAAGTCAGAGTGTTTGTTTGCCCTTATGGGACCCTGAGGAATTACCCATTTCCTCCACATTATAGCCCTGCTCCTTGACCGGGGTCCAGATGTGCAGCAAAGCTGTAGCAC